GTTACTTTAATAAGACTTTATTATGATAAGATGATCTTCAAAAATCAGCCAATCACAATAAAAGCCCGCTATGCTACACCATCTAACTATGGAATTAAGTGGCAATTTTTTAACCTTAAAAATTTTTAATAAACTGTAGGACAAACATGCGTCTGTGGGACAACTAAAACAATTATAAACCAATCTGAGTAAGATTGAAAATTTTGGAAGGTTTGCGCAACTCATATAGCGAATATAGCATGATACAAGTAATAAAAGAGCGACGTTTTACTTTATCTTAGGTTCTTAAATTTGAAATAAAATTTTTATCACTGAGGATTAGAATACACGATAGTATATTTTTTATAAATTTATATTAATGTGTGTGTGAAAAGACAAACTCAAATTTAACAATATATAAAGAAGCGATCTCTGCTCTTCAGCTAATCTTGCTGTAAACGTGTACTTTATAATCTATTATAAGAGAAGGTACTATTGAAAGGACTCTTGATATAGCTACAGACGTAATACCCATAGCAAATTCCCCATCTTAAATATATAATTTAATATTACGCTATCGTTTGAGTTCATATTTTCTTTTCCAATAATACTACTTCTACGTTTGCGCCATTCTTGTCTTTTTGTTGATTCGTTATTTCGATAATTTAATTGTTCTTCGGAGGTCATAGAAGCCAACCTTTTTTTCGAGCCCATTTCTTGTAGTTTTTTGTTCAGGTGTATAAATTCTTTTACGCTTTGCATTTTGGAAGAGTTCAATAAATTATTAATCATATCAACATACAGTTTATTATTTTTTTATTAGTCACATAGTTTATTTTATCATTGTACTTTTTTTTATTAGTCATTTATTAGTAATAGTTTACTTTATCATAACTGATTAAGCATCTGATTAATTAAAGAATTTAGTACACCATGGAGAGGCCCTTCACTCCGATCCAGCCCAATAACATTTATAAAATTTTTTGATAAAGCTTCTTTCCGTCTTAATCACGAAGGAAAGATGGCGATCACAAGTACAGCATTTTGGCATTGTGCAACGTTACCATAATGAGTACTACGTATACAGTATTTTTAGCGTTACTGATTCTCACATAAAACAAAGTCTTTAACCTGTTAGTTATGAATTCGTCTGATGATTTAATTCAAAAATGCCTTATTGATTGGCGTATTAAATTTTACGAATATACTCGCTTCAAGGATATTGAGTTGATTGGAGAAGGTGGACATGGAAAAGTGTATCGTGCTACTCACAAGAATAACGAAATTACTGTCGCATTAAAATCATTTAAAAGTAATAATGTGACCATTAAAGAAATTGTTAATGAGGTAGTTAGTCCGCATATTATTCATTAGAAATTTACTATCTTTACCCATAGGGTATAATACCCGGTATAATATTTATATAAAGCCCTATATATATTATGCAAAATTAGGTGCTGAACAATTTTACTTAAAATACCTACATATGGTTACCTTAGTAAAATTTTGAGATATTAAAGATTTTTGATTTTTTCTTATACCGGGTATTATACCCACCGGGTACAAATAGTAATTCTCTATTCATTATATAGCCATAGAATTATATTAAAATTCATTATTATAAATTATAAATGTTTATAGCTTAAATTACACTGTAAAGTGGACATGCATTCTAATATTATACGCTTACACGGCGCTACTAAGAACGAAGGTAATGCAACTAATTTTGATTTATAAATTAAATACTATTTCTTTGTGTTCACCTATTTGAACTACTTATGATAGATCAACCGAATTTAAGTTCCTTAAATTATATGTTTGTTCTTGAATATGCTGATAGCGGTACATTAAGGTCGTATTTGCGAAATCATTTTAATTATCTTTCCTGGAATGATAAGATTAATTTTGCGCTACAGATTGCTAGTGCTATTAAATCATTGCATGCTGAAGATATAATACACCGTGACTTGGTAATTTTTTAATTATAATAGGTTATGACCTTTGTTATTTTTATTAAACCTAAATATTTACAATTTTTAATAGCATTCAAACAATATACTTATTCATCAAAAGAGTATTAAACTTACGAATTTTGGACTTTCGAAAAGATTGGATTAAGTGACAAATTCAAGTCAAAAATTTGGTGGTGTTGTTCCATATATAGACCCTCAGAGCTTTGAAGGGTCAAGAAATGAAAATAGAACATTTATATTTAATAAAAAATCTGATGTATATAGTGTTGGTGTTCTTTTGTGGGAATTATCTAGCGGTTACCCACCATTTAAGGATGATGTTAAGCCATATCAACTTGCTTCGTTAATTGTGGATATTAAAAATGGTGTTCGAGAAACTCATATCGAAGGAACACCGTCCGAATATATCAAGATCTATTCAGGTATATTTTATTTGTTGTATTTTTATCTTTAACGAAATTTTACTAATATTTTAATTAATAAATAGAATGCTGGCAACATAATCCTGATAGCCGACCAGATATTCAGCAAGTCTTTTTAGGCCTAAAAAATTTAATTACCAATAATAAGCAGTCTATAAATAGAATTGCTCAAGACTCAAATACATTAGAAACTCATGGATCTACTCGAAATAGTTTGTTTATTTCTGATTCAACAGAGGGAATTTTAATGCAAAATACTTCATCATCACTATTAAACTAGATGAAATGGGTGATTATGAAAAAAGACTTTTAGATCTAAATAAATTATTGGAAATCGATCCAAATAATATAACACTTTAATAAATTTATTGCATAATGAGCAGATATGAAGATTCACTCGTTGATTTTAATAAATCATTAGAAATCGAACCAAATAATCCATTTGCATTAAAATGCCGCGGTGTAGTGTACTATTATTTGGATAAATATATAAAATCACTAGACGATTTAAATAAATCGTTAGAAATTGAACCAAATGATACATTTGCGTTAAAAAATCGTGGAAATACTTATCGTATGATGGGTGAATATGAAGAATCACTCGCAGATTTAAATAAATCATTAGAAATTGAACCAAGTGATGTATTTGCGTTAAGTCGTCGTGGTGCAACTTATCTCGGATTGAGTAATTATGAAGAATCACTTGCAGATTTAAATAAATCATTAGAAATTAAACCAAATGATGCATGGGCATTAAAAAATCGTGGAGTAACTTATCGTATGATGAATAAATTCGAGGAATCACTCGCAGATTTAAATAAATCATTTGAACTTGAACCAAATGATGCATGGGCATTAAAGCAACGTGGAGCAACTTATCGTCGAATGAATAAATATGAAGAATCACTTACAGATTTAAATAAATCATTGGAACTTAAACCAAATGATGAATTCGCATTACAAGAACGTGGAGAAACTTATAGAATGATAGGTAAGTATGACGAATCACTTGCAGATTTAAATAAATCATTGGAACTTGAACAAAATAATGTATTTGCATTAGAAGAACGTGGAGCAACTTATCGTCAGATGAATAAATATGAAGAATCACTTGCAGATTTAAATAAATCATTGGAACTCGAACCAAATGATGCATGGGTATTAAGGCAGCGTGGAGCAACTTATCATCAGATGAATAAATATAAAGAATCACTTACAGATTTAAATAAATAATTGGAACTTGAACCAAATGATGCATGGACATTAAAGCAGCGTGGAGCAACTTATTGTCAGATGAATAAATATGAAGAATCACTTGCAGATTTAAATAAATCATTGGAACTTGAACCAAATAATGTATTTGCATTACAAGAACGTGGTGTAACTTATCGTCTAATGAATGAATATGAAGAATCACTTGCAGATTTAAATAAATCATTGGAACTTGAGCCAAATAATGTATTTGTATTAGAAGAACGTGGAGCAACTTATCGTCAAATGAATAAATATGAAGAATCACTTGCAGATTTAAATAAATCATTGGAACTTGAACCAAATAATGCATGGGCATTAAGGCAGCGTGGAATAACCTATTATTGGATCGATAAATATGAAGAATCACTTGCAGATTTAAATAAATTATTGGAACTTGAACCAAATGATGCATTCGCATTATGGCAGCGTGGAGCAACTTCATCACGAACTTTGAAGGTCCATAAACTTACGTTAATTTATGTAAAGAATATTAATACTAGGTAAAATTTTACT